GCAGTAAGCAACCCCCTCCCTCGTATCCCTTAATACCTCAAGGGCAGACAGAAACTTTACACAAATAAGGTGGAACCAGTGAAATGAGCAGATTTTTTACTCAGTTATTGAGGTTGTGTTTATTACATTAGAAATACATTGCACCATCTATCTATAATAGTTATAGTTTAAGTGTAGATAAGGATTCAGTCCTAAACTTAAAGGAATCTAGGAGTCATGAACTCCTTATCTCACTGCATCAGTGGAATCTGATCAGTTCATCTTGGAAGCTGACAAACATATTTGAAAATGAATGTATATTTGACTTGTGCACATGTCACATTAAATAAAATTCTTTTTTTTTTCTACAGTGTAGTTCATAAATTTACATTTGCCAATATTTTCCCTTTGTTTTGAACTTGCTGGAGGTAAGATTTCCCTGAAATATATACATCAATCTAAATTTCAGGGTGCAAATGAACGATTTTATAAATCAGAACCCTGAATGCAAATATAATTCTAAAAATACAAATTATGCGAATTAGGTTCAAGGTGAAGTATCTGGGGTCCCAGGGTAGCACCCAGACTCCCTGAGCTACATGTTCACAGACATGCTACAATTGTTGCCTAAGCAATCACAGGAAAGCAGAGCCATAACTTTAGGCAAAGGGATTCAAGAGTGATTTGTAGTTTCACCCATGATGTTTGTGTTTTGAGCACGGACAGTGGTGGAATTCTCTGACTGTAGGAGGAACGGTCTAGATGAACAAACGGGCAGCAGGGCGACATTGCTGCAGCATTGTTTACACATGTTTCAAGATGACGTGAGCCAAATTTGGTGAAGATTGGACAAAATTTGGAGAAGGAGTAGCAAAAATGGCAATTGGATATAAGCATTTTTTTGGCATGTTATTGTTACTTTAGATCAGTAGGTGGTGCTGGCACAAAATTTGCTGCATAGCCTCAGGTCATGGTCCTGAAGATGCCTACCAAGTTTTGTGTCAGTGCGCAAAATCATTGCTGATATACAGCCTCAATTCCTGTTTGGTGGCTTCGCCATCAGATTCGTTGTCCCATTACGGACAAACTCTTTGGACCATTCAAAATTCTTTTGATAATTTTTGTGAGGCTTAGTCTGAGGATGACGTCTGCCAAACTTGGTGATGATTAAACAAAATTTGCAGGAAGAATAGCGAAAAAACATTTTTTGACAAAATCCAAGAGGCAGAAATTGACGTCATAGAGTGCATCTCGACCCAGGGAACACAGGGATGGCTGGCTTTTAAATTTTGGATACAAGTTTCAAAGATTATGACCATAAATGTACTTCCAAATTAGGCCCAAATTTGACCCGATAGTGGCGCTACACTTGGCCCAAATTTGGTCAGAATGTTCCTTAGACCCTCCCCAATCAGTGTGCCTGATAGAACCGTATTTTTTACCAGACGGTTCTATTGGCTCCCACAGACACACTAGCCAGAAGAAGAAGAAGAAAACATAGAATAATAATAGGGTGCCTATGCACCTTCGGTGCTTGGCCCCATAATAATAATAATAATAATAATAATAATAATAATATCTGCTCAAGTAGCTAGTTTTGTGATGTTAAACACTGAATGCTTGCTACATGCCTTCTAGGTACAGTTCTAGCTAGTGAAGCTACTATAACTTTAGCTTGCCGGTAAAAGTTAGCTAGCTAACATCCAAACTTAGATGCTTAATAGAAATTTAGCTATTTGAGTAGAACATAAAAACTTTAGATGTTCTTACCTCATTATGGTTCATGTCTTTCGTTCTGACTCCACTTAACTCTATTCCACTATTCCTCTATTTATCTCTTCACTTCACAGTCACAGGCATCAGCGTGTTTGGTTAAATGCTTGACCAAAATCTGCCCACTCTTACAGCGTCTACTTTTCTCTAGGAATCCCTATATTTTCTCTAGGAATTATATATATATATAATATATATATATACTTTTGAGATTTGAACTGTTAAGATTTATATTAAGATTAATAAGATAAAAGTATATTAACACAGTAAGGCATAGTTTCAAATTATATGTTTTTGAAGGCAGATTGATTAAATAGACCACAGAAGAAAAAGAATTGTATTTAATGTGACATGTATATAATTCAAATAGATAAATTTCCTGTCCTTCAATCTAAGCCTTATGTTAATAAATAATAAATTTTTTCTCACATTATTTACACTAATATGAAATTATCCTGTGAATTTTATGAATTGTGCTTTGCATACTTATAGTGATTTGGAGGAGGTGGGAAAGTGTTTTACAACAAAAACAGAAAAAGATTTCTCTTTTTTTTATACTAATGTGGTTGCATTCAGTCTAAACTCTAGTTCCTAGTGGTTTAGTACAAACTTAATGTCATATATGATAAAGATTACATTCCTTTAATTACTTTCTGCCATTTAGGTCTGTGCATATTCTTCTATTATGATTCAATATAACTGAATGACAGATATATATATATATATATATATATATATATATATATATATATAGATAGATAGATAGATAGATTCACATACTCTGCATAGGCACGCACACACACACACACACACACATACATACATATGCACATGTGTAGGACTTGTATTTGCAAAGCATGGGGTAGATAGTAGGCCATCCCGTGCACCTTTTGGGAGACTATGCTTTCGCAAGGTGAGATGCAGCTAGAGGAGAAGGCAGGCTCGCGGTCAGCAGGGAGCGAGTGGGCCGCCGGGAGAGGCTCTTAACTTCTGTCAGGCACAAATAACCACGCCATTTTTCACCTCCTGATTTTGAGCCCAGCAAGTCTCCCCAGTCATTTGAACTCTACACACATGCCATGATTCAATTTCGACTCTGGACACTTTGAGAGGCATGAGAGCAACAGATCTGAAAAACAACACACCATGATGCAACTATTTATCTCCCCGCCATGAAGTGAAACAGAAAGTTTTAGCCCTAGGAACTGATTCTGTATGTACTTTAAACGTACTTTTCAGACTGCCTTTTGTCTCCATATTGAAGGGCGTGGTCTAAAAGTAATATGGTATAAACCTATGTATATTTCCTTCCCATAGCACCTTAAAACTGCCTGTTAAAACTGCCATGGAGGATTTTGTTTAGATAATTGTCGTGGGTGGGTGGGGGAATAAGCGGGGCAGAGGGATTATGAAAGCATTTCAGGCTCAGCTCTCACATTTCTGATAGAGATCTTTCAGAACTGCTAGGTGGTGCTGTTTGGTAGCACTGCCTGCTAGTAAGACATCTGAAGTTTTGTTTCTCTGTCTGTTACGAGTCAGTGGTAATCTGTAGTCATCATTGATCCTGTCTATGAATATTAACTATATGACTATATTCCATTTTAGTTAAATGGCAATAATGTGGCTAGTAGTGACATTAGATTTGAGAAATATTGCTACCACAGACACAATGGACACCTTGTAGATTTATATCTTGATGGAGACCAAATGTCCCCGCAAGGATAGAAATTTGACAGTTTTTGATCCTGTGATGACATTTGGCTGGACCTGACAAGGAAAACTGCTTTTTTTTTTTTTTTTTTTTTTACAAAACCTAAAAGAGCCAAACGTTAGGGATAGATTTAGGTGTAGGCTTAACATTAATTAGCTGCATTAATAAATGTGTCAGTAGAAGGTCCTCACAAGAATAATAATCCAAACATGTGTGTATTTGTATGCGCACGTCAGGTCTCTCTGTGCCATGTTTCACATTTCACATCAGTCATTGCTTTGAACTGCCATGAACGTGTCACTCTATCTATCAGGTTGATGCATCTGTCAGATCAGGATCTTACACACATTCGTTCCCCTCTGTATTCACTCTGCATTCTCACCATCATTCCAAACTGTCATTTTCTTGCCATGAATGAATAATAATGTGGCTCATATGGCAGATAATGGATTTATTTTTGCAGTGATAAAATATGAAGAAAATCACTTTCTTTTTCTTTCTGTCTATGTTCTATTTGATTGACCTATTGATTTTGTACCAGCTAGTTAAAATATACATACACCTTGCATTTATCAGACAATTAGCATGGAGAAAGGTCCTTCTCTTTTTACATATAGTGTAACAAATATTTGCAAAGAATAAATTGTTATTATTGTCTTCTGGGAAAGCTTCTGAAGGGCAGTACTAAATGAAAAAATAAGATCTTTGAGAGATCTGAATAACAATTTATACTGATCACCCTGTTTACAATGTAGTGGGTTGTCTTCTTGAGCATCAGTGAATGTTTGCAGCTTTTATAATAGTTGTGCACGAGTTGCTCAGTTGTCATAAGTGTGAAAAGATGGATCTCAACATCATATAGCCACTGCTGGAAAGGGGTCAAACATGCAGAAGATGCTGGAAAAGCAAAGAATGTGCAGGACCTGGAGGATTTTTCTGAAGGACAGTGGGCATTTTAACTGCTCAGGCCAAATAAAGGACTCATGAACAACTATCACAAAACATAAAAAAAAAAAACAGTCACTGATCATCCATGTAACAACACACAGTATTAAGAATCAAGTGTATGTAAACTTTTGATCTGGTTCATTTGTGTAAATTCAGTTATTATTGTGTGCTGTGGACTATATGTAACCATCTGTTATGTGAAATAGCTTATTCAGGGCGGTACTAAATAAAAAACAAAATGCAATTTTTACGATCCCTCTTATTTTTTTTTTTAATTATTAACATTTTGCAGATTCTGCACACACACAGACCTATGAACTCCTAATTACCGTATGCATAATAGATGCAGATCATCCCAATTACCTGTTAAAGGTAAAGAGGCCAATATTCTCACAAGTGAGAAAGCAAAACCATACAGCTGAGCATCTTTCCCCTGAGATTCGGTCTCTTTACACTGGGTCTGTATAGCTCATTTTCTTTGTTTCTCCTCTTTTTTTAAATTTAATATGAAACCATGAAATCTGAAGAGCTGTGGATATAGCTGTATTTTATACAATAGGTTTGATTATAATATTTTCTGCCTTCGGGGTCCCTGGAGGACTAGTGGTTAGGCCAAGACGCTCTCACCACCGCAGCCCGCGTTCAATTCCCAGCCCGGGACCCAACCCCAGCCACTGGGGTTGCACAAGACAGTGCACTCCCAGTGCCGGTCCCAAGCCCGGATAAAATCGGGGAGCATTGTATCAGGAAGGGCATCTGGTGTTAAAAACTGTGCCAAATCAAATATGCAGACCAATGATCCGCTATGGTGACCCCTGACAGGAGCAGCCAAAAGAAGAAGAACAACATAATATATTCTGCCACTATTTATTAAAGCCACCTTTATTTATGATTTATTATAGCTTTATTACACAAAGTAGAAGGGCTTACAGTATGTGGTTGGCCATTCTGTAATAAAAATGCCTTTTAGTGTCAAATTTACTTATTTTTTCCCCCACAGTCAGTTTTGGTTAGATCAGTTTCATATAATTTAACCACACTGGCATGTAGAGTTAAAATAACTCAAATTAGATCCTGTTCTTTTTGCATCATATAATTTAATCTGATTTTACAAAATTATATAATTAAAATTCCCAATATGTACATCACTGTCTAGATTTTATAATAACTCTCTTCTTTATTGCCGGTCAGTACCTCCAATGAACAAAGTGCAGCTCAGTAGTAGTGTGTTTTGAGCCTCAATCTTTAGCTGGAGAGTGTCCTGTCTAGGGGCCTGCACTGTCCTCTTCTTCTGCTTTTTTGATTTGAAATATTGTCTTACATAATGAGGGAGAAAAATAGAGCGAGCGTGCACTCCTGCGCTGGTGTCAGCTTAATCAATCATTTTTAAACACGGGCAGGCGTGGAGCGCCTCCTGCCTCCCATCCGACGCATCCTTCCCCTGCTCCAGCGTAGCACGGCGGCAGCAATTCATCATCACTCCAAAAATTAAGGTGCCGTCATATCACACTCGTCCTTGCCTCCTTTCCGCTTTAAACACAGAGGTTGGGGGGAGGGGGGGGGGGGGGGGGGCTGAATGGCGGCCGCATGATTAGTCGTGTGAGGACGGAGACTTTGAGTTTTCCCTTGATGGTCTCACTCTTTCTTTTGTACATTTTCTTTCTTTTGTGCACTTTCCCTCTCTCTTGTCTCTCTCCTGTGCTCCAATTTCTCCCCATTCCATGTCATACCACTGCGCCTGAGAAAGAGAAAGGGAGGACTGTTGGAGTCAAGGTGATTGGGTTGGATTGCTGGAGGTCAGAGGGTAGAGCACCATGGGAGAGGTGCAAGAATAGACAGAATAGGTCTCATCTCAGTGATGCGTGATAGTCCCACCTAATTTTTTCCCTGGAACACTGACCTCCATCAAGCCTTTTCCAATTGTATTGTAGACACTTGGGATTCCAAGAAGTAAAGTATGAGTGTACCTTTTCAGTCTCATTTCAGCTGCTCAAGCTGCACGAAAAATGACTCTTGCTTTCATCATATGAGTTTGAACACACCACGGAGAGTGTCAGCTTGAATGACTGGTGGGACCCTGCATTGGCTGGTCAAGCCCACTGTGATCAAAAGAGATCCACACTTTTCAAATGTGTCTAGACCATCACAAGGGGCTACATGTGAGGTCCGTTGAAAAGAAGCACTTATTTATTGAGGGATGCGTCATGGAGTTCTCAGTTTCACCGGTGGCTGGTCTGTTGTTTCAGACTGTTGGGTCACACCTGTTTGTTGGAGACACACAATAAGTAGTGCTTGGAGTGTGAGGGCATTTTACACAAAGCCCAAGTGTAGTAAGAACTCCCCATATAATCCTCATGTTCATTCTCTGCTTTTGTACTGGGAAATGCCATACGACAGATAAATTATTCCCATGCACTTACACGGCAACATGTATTCTCTCCCAGCCTTCAAATTTCCTCTCACCACAGGGTATCACAAGTCAAGTCAATCATTTTCTTACCCACAGTGTACCCACAGTGACTGACACGATTACTCATGCAGCGTATTAATTGCCTGCTTTTGTTTTACGAACATATTCTCTGTCTTTAATTGCAAGCTACTCGGTGTCTCAGTGAGGGAAACTCAGAAGAACACTCTGAACAGGAGCACCAACGAATGCAAACAAGATTGTTCCCAGCTTCTTTTAAACCAATCATGCAAGTAAAACAGTGTGTAAACAATTACCTTCAGTCACAATAGGTAACGCTGGTGTTCGAGCTCATTAGGCCTGGCTGGTGCTCTGTACATGATAATGATGACTGTGAAGCACAGCTGGAACTGAATATCAATATCTGAAAGGAAACAGTGAGTGTGCATCTGTTTATGATAATTCCTGCTTTAATTTCTTGTTTAAGAGATTGGCACGATCTCATTCAATGTGCTATTCTGAATATTTATACTCAAATTAACATGTCTACGGCAGGACACTATATACAATTAACACTTTACATGAACATTTTGTACACACTCTTAGAAAAAGTGTTACTCGTTCTTCGTACGATTCTAGGTCTCTAAATGTCTTCTGGAAGAGAAGCTCTCTGTTGTAGGGTTCAATATAAAAACTGCAAGAGTTTCAAAAAATGTATGATTTGACCCTAGTACACCCCCCCCCCCCCCACCACCACCACCACCACCACCATTGTTTCAGTGCTTTTATTATATTGGTTACAGAGTTACAGCACTGCAATACTATGCAAAGGTCTATGTAAAGAATTTAAGTGGGGGAAAAAAGTTTTATTAAAAAAAAATTTTCTTTCTTTTATTCACTGTTTTTCACTGGGTGGATCTGGAGTCTATCCCAGGAGCACTGGGTGCAGGGTGGAAACCCCCCCCCCCAGATGGGTGACCAGTCCACCATGCATGCACACATTTAGAGTACATGGGCAATTTAGAGTACCCAATCCACCTCGCCATATATATTTCTGGGAGACAGTAGGAAACTGGAGAACCTGAGGAAACCCACTGGGACATGGAAGGACATGCAAAACTCTGTACAGAGAGCAACCCGAGCTCTGGATTGAACTGGACACCCTGGAGCTGTGAGCCGTAAAAATAATAAATCTAAAATTTCTAACTACAAAAGAATGCTCCTATAAAGAGCAGTAAGCAGTAGAATAAATAGAATAAATCCCGGTTCAAATAAATATTTGCTGTGACCACCCTTTACCTTTAAAAGTGCATAAAATATCTTAGATACCTTGTTGCTGAAGACAAACATAAAGTTAAGCAGACTAGACTGCCTAAAACTTTGCACAGCATTGAGCAAAAAGCTGCTTTGCTTGTAATAACACTTACATGAAACTGCAAAAGCCCATAAGATCTTTCCCTACACTTTTCATCTAAGCAGTGCTTTGTAGTGTAGCACTGAGCATTATGAGCTCCTGAGATTCCTGCAGCTTTTCTACACACTCCTCTACTATTAAAGACAAAAGAAAACCTCAGCATAAATAACATGGAGCAGCATCTGCTGTATGCCGTTCAGCCGAAGTTATTGAGAATTGCAGTCATCTGTTTTGGTGCTGGAAAGGGCTGAGAATGCAATATTGGAATTTAAACTTATCTTCCTGGAGAACATTTCTTTTTTTGGACTGTCTTGCTGTAAACTTTCACAAGAGCAGGAGAAATCCTTTGTAATATTTCTGTGTTATTTGTTTCACACACACACACACACACACACATATATATATATATATATATATATATATATATATATATATATATGTGTGTGTGTGTGTGTTTTATAATTTTGGGAACCTCATATATGCTATTTTCACAGGGAATTAAAGGGATTGTGTAATATGGCAGACACAATAAACATCTCAACTTTTGATATATAGCATGTGTGTGATTGTAGAGTGTTTTCTGGATACATCTGTTCCATTTTAGCTTGTGTTTGACAGTAAGATTAAATGATGATGGTTTCCAACACATGATCTAGGGAAAGTTAATCTATAGGGAAAGATTATGCTGTATATTAGACACATAGACAAAACATACAGTAAAATAAATACTGGTTACAAACAAACATTAATGTAATTGCAAAGTCAACACCAATCTTAACAGTGTATGGAAAACCTGATGTCATAAAAATAGCAATAAAATATTTTTTTTATCACATAACCTCCTACTGTTTTTCCCAATACTAAGAGCATACACTCCTGGGCAAAAAAAAAAAAAAAAAAAATGGGACAAGCCCAAAATGGCAACTTTTAAGCTTTTAATGATCTTAACAACAAACCATTGGTCAGAAAATTAGCAAGAATTAAACAAACGCACTCCTGAGCGCTCCCGTGCCACCATTTGCTGGTTTACTTTTGCTGAAATGAAGTGTTGGGGAAAAGCTAGAAAACAGGGAAATTCACTTATATAGTCTTCTTGTACACAAAGGTGAAATCATAATAACGATTAAAATGTGTGATGAAAAATTCAAACTAACACATGTCTGGGTGTGCATAATTTTCGAAAAAAAATTTCTGCCACACCTGATGCAGCACATCAAGGGCTACAAGGCTTAAACATTTAAAGAAATCAAAGGGAAAAGCTCTCCCATACTAACTTCCTTTATCTATTTGTTTAATTCTTGCTAATTTCCTGAACAAGGATTTGCTGTTAAGACCATTATAAGCTTAATATTTTGCCATTTTGGGCTTGGCCCATTTTTTTGCCCATGAGCGTAGATGTATGCAGTTGTAGATTTATGTCACACCATATGAGCAACTAAGCATCTATAATTTTACATCAGACGGTAGATCTGTTGTTTGGTGTGAAGAACATACCTCTAAAGCTACACCCTCCAAGCAATGTATTATAAGACTTAGAGAGTTAATATGAATGTATTCACTCTGCATGTCTTCAAATACACTTGTCAGTCAACACATTGACTTTATTCTCTTTTATGTCACTTCGTACTTAAGATCCTATAAGTGCTGTTTAATAATATATATATATATACATATATATACTGTAATGACAGAAATACAGTGCAACCAATGAGAAAACGACCCTGAGGAATAACAGATGATGACAAACAGATGAGGACAGGCCTAACAACATTCCACACTAAAAGGTGTTTGTACTGTAATTAAAACTCATGACATGGCAGTAATTGTTCCTAAACAAATG